GACCGGTTCCCGCTCACTGGCTGAGTGAGGTGAGGGCGCAACACCGAGGGTTGCGATCCCGTTGCCGGGCCCGGTCCGGTACGGGCGCGACACTGAGGGTTGTGATCTGTTGCCGGACACGAAAAAAGACAAAAAAAGGAAAAAAAAAAAAGAGTGGAAACTTAAAAATAGAAAAATAGCCACATACAAATAAACTATTGGACAAGAAGGCAAGCAACTGAGTGCTCATAGGAGATCCAAGTTAAAATACTCAGGTTCAGGAGGGATATATTAAGATATTTTCAATTTTGTCCTTTATTAAATTAAATATTCATAAGAAAAACTCAAGGATAATCACTAAAAATAAAAATTTTAAAATCCCAAATATGTAGCAAGATTTAAAAATGAAAAAAAAATCCAGACAAATACAAAAAATAATCTCAATCCCAAAACAGCAAGCAGCATAGACAAAGGACTAACAGAAAACAAAGTAACATAGATATGCCTAAATATGTAACTATTAAATGAATGAATGTTGGCAAGAATTAATTAATTGTTAAAATTTTGCACCTTGAAAAATTTAAATGCCCTTTTACTAGGACAATAATCGTAGCATTGATAGTAGCATTAAGATTTCACACATCCTACATTTTAAATCAAAAATTATTCTGGATAGATTCAAATCTGAAATCTTTTAGGTCCACAAAACAGATCTAAGACCTCTATAGAGAAGGAAATCTCCCATCTCTTTCTTTCTAACCTTTTTATCTAGCTAAAATGAGTTAAAGATGAAAATATTTGCCTATCACAACATGAGATGCACAAAAGATGTTCAATTCCTGTGGACTAACTGATTTGGCAAAAAAATCATAGTAAGTCAAATTATAAATTAGTTTCCATTCTGTCTTAGCAAAGAGCCTGTCTTAGGCACCTAACAATTAAATAAAAAACTATTTAAATAAATTAAGCACCATCGGATTCTCTGACACGTGCCACATCTTGACACACAGCCTACTTATTTTTGATCTGGGCTTTCAGACTCAGGCAATGTGGAAAGGAATATTCTCAGGGTTCAACCTAGCTCACACACCAGCAATATGCCTAAGTGAAAGAAAGTATGTCTAAGGTCTTATCAACGGTCTCATACTTTGTAAAAAGTTTTCCCTGCACTCTTATGGCAAGCCACCCTATTCGAGGATCTGATCTGTGGAGTCTATGTTCTATAAACTGCCCTCCCAGCCATAGCTCTTCCTCAAGGTTGTAGTGCTGGCACCAAAAATCATGAATGAGAAACTGGTGTGCAATTCACAGCATATGCTGGCAACAGCTGTCTTTTATTACACATTATCTAATATGAGAAATCTAGGTTTAGCAATTTG